TGTCTACAATGACTAAAAACTAAAATATTAGTTAATGACCACTTTTTAGTCATATCGCACATTAAAGTGAATTCTTTATATAATCATGTATGTATGTATGTATGAATATTAATATATTTATCCTTGTTTTATCAGACTCCAATTATAAAACATTAATAAAGTTATTTTGTTTTCTTTAATATTATTTTAAATTTAAGATTGAATATTGTCTTCGATTTGTTATTATATATTATTCTCATTTATTCAGATTCCTATAGCATCCTGAGTCTTGCACCGGCCAAGTATAAAATCTCTTAAACACAAGTTTGACAGTCTTGGTCATTAAACAGAGGCGATTAACCACTCTCCTAAACAGGCAGAACCCTACTTACTCAATTTAGGATATTTTATGTGGTCCCCATAGATCTGTTATCTACTGAATCAAGACAAACTATTTTAGTCATACCATAATCATAACTTCAGAATCAAGAATCTATTAGTAACTTTGAATAATTCCCAAATGATTTATATAGTATAAGTTTGTAGATGAAGGCCTAACTTACCCACATTTAGATTAGTCTCAATAATATTTTGTTGTTCTAAATGGAAAACCCATTATTGGCCTTTTACAGTCTAAATATACTTTAATTAATGCCAATATGATAGTTAAATCTCTAAAACATTGTTTAACGTGCCACACTGCTCCGTCTAACGTGTTTTAGTCCGTTGCTAACCTTTACAGAGGCTTGTGGTGCTATGGACTTAACGTAATATACTAGAGATAATAACACAATCTCTGTTTGAATAATTCAAAACATAACAATTTATTAGTCAGGTAAATGTGTATTATGCCAATTCATTCAGTCAATTCCTAAATGATCCATAAAAAAAAACATAAAATTCTCAAAGATAAATCCAAGATTAAAAGATGCATACCTGACTTTAAAATATACATAACATGGAGCGTAAGCAATTATGAACTTGTGTTTTTCTGCATTGGAGAAAGTCATGAGGTGAAGCATAAAATATATGACTGTTGAAATATCAAGCCAATTCCATGTGTGTTCAATAAGAAAAGGTCTGGAGAGGATTTTCTTCAATGTCAAAAATTGTAACAATTTATTGGATACAAATGAATAATTCGATGACAGAGCTCTGGGTTACATTACCCCAATGCAATACAAGAATTACATTCAAGAGGTTCGCAACTGACATACATTTCCTGACTCCATTATATATACACAACTGATCTTAACAGGTGGAGTTTTGGTGTAACGTCACTTGTCAGTCATTGTTCAGTCCTCCATTGGCCACACCTTCGACATACTTCTTCTTTTTCTATGAATTCTCTGCACAACAAAAAAAGCATACAACTTTCTGTGTTCTGTTTTAACACCTCTCTTCAGACAGGAAGTTTCTGCAGAGCTGAATTTTATCTTGGACCCGCATCTATCTACTTCTGCAAAAATGCTAATTAGTATGCACAGCACTCACACACAACATTAGAAGTTCAGTTAATATATGACCCTTACATGACCAGTACAAATAATTGTTTGATTAAAAGAAAAAGAGACAAAAATAATAAAAAATGATTCCTATTTTACAACAGTCCCCCTTTCTGCTCCTCTCTGGAGCAGACAAAAACAAAAACAGATAATCAAATTCCCACAAATGTTTTAACTGTCATTACTGCAGGCCTTTGCCTAAATCTTTGTTTTACCTCTTATTCAAAATAATCTTTAACATCCTAGTGCTCATTTATTATGTTAGATGATGCCCAAAACCCCTTTTAACTCAACTTCTTTAACTTTTCTGGATTCAGTTAATAATTTCCACACTCTTGGTTCTCCTCTTCGGTGGTGCAGTCTCTTCCCTCTTGAAGTCACTCCGATATCTTCTTTTAATAAGGATTATACTTGCTATATTCAGGCTTATTACTCCCAACACTCTTATTAACTTCCAATTATCCCGTAATTAAAATTTTCCATTCTTATACACTTTATCAATAAAGTTTTTTTTTCTTCTTCTTCTTCCCCACCAAAATTAGGATAATAATGAGAATAATAAAAATGTAAACAAAATTTAAAAACTCCAACATAAAAAATAAAAATCTGATCAAAAGGAAATCCAGACCCATAAAGATATCCTCCAATTAAAAATCCCACTATATAATTAAGATCAAAGATCAACACTTGTGGAAACACTTGTGATTGGAATTAGAAATTCACTAATACAAAATTATAATCCCCTTGAATAGTTCAGACTGAATTTCAACATTTTGAAGTCATTATTGAACAAAAATTACAATTGAGATTTAGGATGAAAAATCAACAGCTTCAAAGTAGGATTAAACTAAACAATTATTAAAATAAAAAGTTCAGAACTCAATCATAACAAGGTTATTAAACTAAGAACTCAAACTCGTCACCAAATGATTAAAACCAAAATTAAAACATATTTAAACTAGATTCTTTTTATTCCCTCAATGTCTCTAAATGGGAAAATTAAAAGCACAACAATGTAATTAAGATAAAATAAAAATCTTAAGAATCTCTTCAAATAAAAGGTTCAAAAGCAACAATGGCTTAAAATAAAATGATCTTCAAAAATGTATTCAAATAAAAGAATCTTAAAATCATAATGATGTGTTTAAAATACAATAATCTTAAAAATGTCTTAAAATAAAAGATTCAAAAAGCATCTTAAAATAAAAGATTTTTTTAAGCATTGAATGTCTTAAAATAAAAGATTATGAAAAAACATACAAATGTCTTAAAAAAACAAAGGATTTAAAAAGCATTAGAAATGTATTAAAATAAAAGATAAAAAGTCATGGAAATTTCTTAAAATAAAAAATAATAAAAATATAAAAAAATGTCTTCACATAAAAGATAAAAAGTGTGTCTAAAATAAAAGAATAAAAATAATTTAAAAAATTCAAAAACATAACGTGTAAAATAAAATAATTTTAAAATGTGATTATTTTATTTTTCTTTTTATTTTTTATTTTATTTTTCTTTTCTTTTTATCCTTTTATTTTATTTATCTAATTTGTCAAATTCATTCATTCATTCATTTTTTAAGGCTTAGTCCCTTTATTAATTTGGGGTCCCTACAGTGAACTGAACAGCCAACTTATCCAACATATGTTTTACACAGTGGATACCCTTCCAGCTGCAATCCATCTATGGGAAACGTCCATACACACTTAATCACACACTTTCTGTCAGATTGTTATATGCTAGTAAATCAGTCTTATTTTCTTTTTCTGTTTCTATTTCCCTTTTTGTGTTGGCCTGTATCTAATATACAGTTGGCCTCATGCATTGATGTTGCAGCGTATTCAGCTCCCACACCAATACATGCTTTACACACTCCGATTAGTCAGATATGCCCTTTTTCTGTTTTATCCCCCTTTCGTCCTGGGCCTAGCTCCAGGCCGTTTTACACCCCTATATTGACTGTCAAGTTAATCTGGCCAGCCTCACTATAGCTGTCAATCATGACTAGCAGATAACTTTTCATTCACCTTTTCTCCCATATCTCTATAATCAATTATAACATCACCCTCATTCTTTTCTTGCGGTTTCTGATACCTTTAAATATAATTTCAGTCTGCAATCTATATTAGTCTTATTACCATGTCTTTTACAGTCACCAGTTTACGGTTATTTGAAATGGCTTATTTATTTGGCGTTCTGACTCGACCTTGCCCAGACACCACTCATCCTGAGGAATGTCATCTAATCCCCTCTAATTTTTATTTACTTCCTTTAAATCTAGTTCCATATAAATTTCATAGCACCTGTTTAATCCCAATCAATTAGGTGTCTACTCTTTTTCTGCAAGTAAAATATCATCAACATCACGTATCAGTAACACTCCCTCTGCCAAGGGGCAAAAACTCAGCGGGTCTCACAGGGCGTGATTTAACAACCCTGATAATATAAATTCTTGGGGTACTCTTGTGTACCTCTATTGTTGCCCCTAAAGATAAATGAAAACACATCCCTCAAATTTGGTGCCAGTGTTAAACAGAAAATTTCATTGGCTAAGTCTAGACATTAAAACCACTTATTCTCTTGGTGTAAAGCTGGTAATGCAGTGTATTAATTTGGAACTGGCATTGTGGCGGTTTTCAATACCGCATTAACTTTTCTTAAATCATGAGCCATTCTGTATTTTCCTATATTTAGTTTTTCTACAGGTAAAATCGGAGTGTTTGGTTGTAAGGTTGATGGTTCTAATAAAACTATAGTCAACAATCCTTTAATTGCATCTGCAATACCTGCTTCAGCTTGTGGTTTGTGGGGATACTGTGGCTGCCAAATCGGCCTTTCATTATTTAAATTCATTATTTAACTTTGATTTGTGTCTGAGAGTGAGGAGCAAAAACCCACATCTGTTGGTCCTGTAGGCCATAATTGGCTTGGTAAACTTTCTAGCATTGGTGCCGCCACCTCATTCTTTCTGTTCTGTTCTTTCTCTCCCATGCCACCTTGTGACCCATATATGTTTTGCTAATTTGCCAACCACACCCTTCTAATTTTTATTTATTATTATAAAATCAGTTTAGTTTTGGTCACAGAATACAAATCATGTGTGGTGGGTTAGTGGGAGTCATGTATGGTGTAGTGTGGGTTACCCAAGACCTCCATTGAGCATAAAGCGAGAGAAGGCCGTATCCTGACATGGTTTCTGGCTCCAGTTTGCCCCAGTAAATGTCAGCTCCTCCAGGCTCTCGTATCGCTGACAGCAACCATTGTCCTCTCAGGCTTGGTGTGCCCAGTGAGCAGTTCATAGTCATTCCTGTGAGAAATCTCACAATGACACCATCAGCACAAGATAAAATTAATGCACCCAGCTTTATCAACAAGTCTCTGCCCAGTAAGTTCGTATGGGGCTCTGTCAGACAACAGAAATGACATTGATGTTTTAATTGCTGTCCAGCCACAGACATGGGTATTGGTTTAGTTAAAGGCAGTCTTTCACATTCCTCAGAGAAATCCACAGTTCCACAGTTTTTTTTTTTGTGAAATCAAGTCCTGGTTGACAGGGCCACTCAGTGCGGAATAGGTAGCGCCCGTGTCAACCAAAAAGTTCAGACAGTCTTTGTTAACCTCCATTGATAGCATTGGCTCCACCTTAGCCACGCTTGGGTCTCCCGGTGGGCCTCCTCAGTATAGTTCATGTCCTCCCCAAAGTTGATATTGTGTCCCACTCTGTCCTGGGTTTTGTCTACCACGGTTTGGAGCTAGCCCTGCGTGTGGTGTTGCAAAGCCTTGGCCTCTTTGTGCACCCCCTCTCTGGGTTTTCGGGTTCTGTCCTTGGGGACATCTCCTTGAAATGTGCCCCCACTGGTTGCAAGTGAAGCATTGCACTTGGGGTCTAGGTGGAGCCGGAGCCAAACAGTCGCGGACCTGATGATTTAGCTGCCCACACCGGAAACAGCCCTCTCCACGCCCACGCCCACTGTAAACCCCGGGACCCCATTGACCCCCCATGCCTCCCCTATTTGGTCCTTTAACCTGATGTTGGCGTTTGGGTGGTTGGTTATATATAGGTGCCATGTAATATAGTTCAGGGTCAGGTGACTGCACCAACTGTTTACCTTTCTCTTTATTCTTTTTTCTTTTATCAATCAGTTTCTGTCTGTCTTTCTTCACCTGCAATTTGATTAATAGGTTTTTCAACTCCTCAAACTCAGACCGGCTCACATCAGCTTTATTTTTAGCTATGTTCATATGATGAATTAAGTACCTCTCCCAGGTGACCGAGCCACTTACTGGTATGTCAGGGTTATCTTTTAGGGCTGTTTTAACACAGCTTGGAGTACCCTCCAACACAGCTGATCTGAACACCCATTCATGTAGTTGGTTAGCATGAGGATGTGTCCCAGTTTGGGCTTCCCACTCCTGCTTACACCTCATTAAGTATGCTGCTGGGGTTTCATCTACCTTAGGGGTGAATTTTATGTTATGTATCCCACCAGGTGGTGCTGGAAATTTTTTTCTCATCACTGCTCCCCAAGCAGTTGCCACATTGCCAAAAGGAGTGCTTGATTGAAATTTGTGTGTACCCGATTCCTGGTCAAATAGTCTCAGTTCCGCTTTAGAGATTACCTGCCCCAAAAGGGACAGTGGAGCCATTTGAGAATTTCCCATTTCTGATGTTTCACCTATTTCCTCCTCACTTCCTGCATTTTCATCATCTCTTTTTTCGCTATCCTCTTTCACCTCAACCCATTCTTCCTCACTTTCGTGATCTGCTAATTTCACTTTCTTAGTTTGTTGTCTGGTTTTGTGTGCTATCACCTCTTCATTGTGTTTCAGTTCCCTTCTCACATTTTTAATGGACTTTGTGGCCGCTCCCAGTTCCTGATCCATACATCTGGCCCGTTCTGCGTCTTCACTGCATCCTTCACACTCTCCTTCACGATTCATTCCACTCTCCCTTCTTTCTCTCAACTCCGCATCTTTTTCAACTGTCAAAAGATGAGTGTTAGATCCAAACAAAATCAAACCCTTCTCTGTCTGAGCTGCTTTTCTTCTAAATTCTATGTCTTTGCTTCTCTTAATCTTAATTTTTTCCTACTGACTGAACTCTTCCTTCTTGTTGTTAACTCTGATCATTTTCCCTTCTTTTTTATGTATCTATTGAAATGTTTCTTTAGTAGCTGGTCTTTATGTTGTATTTTAATTTCTCTTTATCATTTCCTAATAGTATTATTTAGTTATTTGTTCTTATTTTTCTAATCAACAAACTACTGGTCTATGGTTTTAGTCATACTCCTTTATTTATTAGATTACTTTCTTTATTAATATATTCATTTGTATCGCTTCAAGTTCCGTTTCAACAAATATAACTATATTAAACATATTTCTCATTGGTTCTTAATTTCACTTGTCTTTTTGTATACCACATTGAAATAGATCTGTTTATTTAGTAACTTATGCTATATCCCTAATTATTATATCACAGTCTGTCATTATTTAATCAAAACAATTTTATATACTCTTTTAATATAATTTACTCCTTCTGCCTCTTACTTCAACTGTTTCTTCCTCATGAAAAGGAGTGGCTCCTTTTTTCTGACTTCCTATTTCTTGTCAGTCTGTCTAAGATTGTCTGTCTGAGCACTTCCTCTTTTTCTCTCCTCATCTGTCTTTCTATAGCCGTTCCCACAAATGCCAAAATCATGCCACATTACAAATTCCAACAAATTTTTCCATTTATTACTACCACAACCTCCTTGTGGCCCCCTTTTGCTATCTTGTTAACTTTGTAAAAAATCTTGTTTCTCAAGATTGTAGCCAATTTTACAGTTCAATCATAGCTCGACTCATTTTCACATTTAAGCTTCTCATATATTGTTTCTAATTTCCTTTCCAAAAAAAATTTTCTTTCTTAGTTCCAATCATTTACCACTTGTCCCATTGAGTTTTTTAGTTTTGTTTGGGACATTTTCCATATTGCTCACATTCTTTATCAAATTAATTATCCATTTTTTTTTTTACACTTTCACTTCCTCAAATTTACAGAGTGTTTTTCACACACAATAATGAACTTCTGTATGTTGAACTTACACAACATACACAATCATAAAATATATTTATCCTCCTCCAACAATCAAATTTTCACCTGCAAACTTTTTGCACTATCCCAATTACAGAAATTTCACAATTTTAAATGACATTTAAATGAATATCATATACGCTTATATACAGCCGACTAAATATCTGTACACTATGCTTATTTCAACTGTTAGTTACTTAAGCAACAGACAAATATTTACATAAAATAAAATCCCTGGCTGCACCACTCTTCTAAGCTATTCTAAACTACCCTAATATTTACTAACCGGTTAACACTTAAAGCATACATTTAAACTAATCGAATTATTCAAATGCTTATATATTTTAACTACATCAATCCTACATATCAGGTTTTCTGCTTACCTTATTTTTTCGGCGCCGATGATGTCAATGCAATACGACAGATCAATAACTTCCTCTCCCCCTTTTCCACGTCGGAGGTCACCAAATTGTTAGAATATCAAGCCAATTCCATGCGTGTTCAATAAGAAAAGGTCTGGAAAGGGTTTTCTTCAATGTCAAAAATTGTAACAATTTATTGGATACAAATGAATAATTCGATGAAAGAGCTCTGGGTTACATTACCCCAATGCAATACAAGAATTACATTCAGGAGGTTCGCAACTGACATACATTTCCTGACTCCATTATATATACATAACTGATCTTAACAGGTGGAGTTTTGGTGTAACGTCACTTGTCAGTCATTGTTCAGTCCTCCATTGGCCACACCTTCGACATACTTCCTCTTTTTCTATGAATTCTCTGCACAACAAAAAACTTCCTGTGTTCTGTGTTCAGTTTTAACACCTCTCTTCAGACAGGAAGTTTCTGCAGAGCTGAATTTAATTTTGGACCCGCATCTATCTACTTCTGCAAAAATGCTAATTAGTATGCACAGCACTCACCCACAACATTAGAAGTTCAGTTAATATATGACCCTTACATGACCAGTACAAATAATTGTTTGATTAAAATAAAAAGAGACAAAAATAATAAATAATTATTCCTATTTTACAACATGACCAAAACATAAAAGGTGTCAGCAAGTGCGAGTTGTACAACTGGTCTCAGGTCTCTTTCAATGTGTTTAGAAGGTCCAATCAAAAACAGATAAATTCTTTGTCACAACTGAGATGGGGTATAATGATAGGGGAAATATTGAAGATATTCTTAGTATGAATTACTCAGGGGAAAATTATCAAAAGGTCAGTGCAACTTATTAAAACAGTATAACAGGCAGTATGCATCATAAAACACATCATCATGACAATACATTCAAATAAATGACATTCATATTCATAATGAAAAACCATGAAAATATTTGTCATACATGATATTAATCACATTATTTACCCATAATTATGAAGGTATATCTATAATAATGTGTGCGTTTGTGTGTGGTGTGTGCATGTGTGTGTGTATGTCTGTGTGTGTAGGCTAGGCCACAATTGATGTATTTGTCAAATTTAAAATTTCCTAGTTGATTATTAGAAGGGTTCTCACTTCAGGTTTAATTTTAATTACTTTAACACTTATTCCTGTTAGTGGTGATAGATTGGAAAACCAGGGGCCCTTTGGTTTGTTAGCCATCCCCATAACAGTCAGTGTATGTATTCTTAAATTTATTGGCAAATTCGCCTCTGTATTGAAATTTTATACCATCAATTTTTTGTCAAAGCCATGCAAATGTGTATTTTCTTGTCAGCTGACAGAGGGTGTTAAAAGTGTGTTCTCATCTGTCATCAGGTTAATTATTGTGTTGTACTATGTGTGTGAGGCTAATGTGTTTTGTTTGTATGAATATGGACAATAGATTTTTAGTTAAGGAGGTTTGACTGTGTCTTTGAAGACTAAGGTGTTATCTATGTGCCTGGGTTTACCTGTGGCTATGTGTCAGTGTAATGCTCCGAACAATGGTAATCAATTTTTATAATTGTGTTGTAAAATGTTGGTCCGGTTTTAACGGAGCCAGCATAAGAATGTGAACATGAGGTGTGTTCCGGCTCAAATTAATTCTATATGATATCTTTAAAGGAGGATGATAAAGTGCAATGTTCAAAGCTGGATCCTGTAAGAATGCTTTTTTTTTTGAACAACCCATCACTAATAATGACGTTGGAAAAATAAGTTGACTTTAGCCATCTTTATATGTTTTGTTGCTGTCGTTTTATAGGACTAATGATGGAAGATTTTTTATTTTAGCTGCTGCATTTTGTAGTTAAAGGGGTGGTCCACTACAATATCATATTTTAAACTTTAGTTGAAGTGTAATGTAGCTGTGTGAACATAAACAGTATCTCTGAATGTAAAGATCAAAGTTCAATGTAAAGGGAGACCTTGGTTTTTACAGAGTTAGCTTAGCAAAGCCTACAATGAACACATTTTGGGGACTACAAAAAATACTTCCGGGCCTTGTGAGATCACAAACGTAGTTTTACCGCGCACACACTGCGCAGCTGAGGGCCGTGGCCAGAGGCGCTCTAACGCTATAGCAGAGAGCTAAAATGTGTCCAAACGCTGCTGTTTCCACAGAGCTTCGTCTGTTTCTGTATTTTGGCTTCCAAAGGACACGACACAAAGACAGAAGTGCTTACAGTTCAATATTAATTATGTTCCAGAGAATTATAAAATACATAGTGTGACCAGATGACTTTTTGTCAGAGAAAACGATTTAGCAGAGGGTAAATGAAGTGACTTACAATCAGGAGAACAATTATACTTTATTTCACAAGTTGTTGTATAAAAAAGATACAAATATTCTCCATCTTTAATGCAAACAAGGTGGGAAAAGTAAATAAACTAAATAAAGGAAAAAAAAAACACTAATGGCCAATGGTTACCTAGAAAGTGAGGACAGATGAGGTACCCAAGCAGCAGTGTTCTCACCACACTCAGCTCACAGCAATCACACTGCAACCTAACAAAAAAACACAAAATTAACAGTGACCAAATCACCACACAATCCCAACCACAATTCTCCACTGCCATCCACATAGTTAATCTGAAAGCAAGTTGGGCTGTGGTCACACTAGAGTTTGTGCTTGCAAAATTCTGATGTATGGCACTGCAAAAAAAGGGTGGGATAAAACAATGTGATTGGACGTTGCTAAAAGCTCATGTTTTGATCTTCTATTGGTCTCATGCACTCACGTGATGCAATTTCAAGCTTCGGTCTTGCCATTGTGGAGTCCACTATTAAATCTGTCATGCATCTATATATTTATAATTAGAAAAAAATTGCATCACAAGTAAAAAAGGAAAAGTCATCTTTAGTGATAGCTGCCTGATAGGTCAGACCCTTAACTGAATAGGACCGTTTTACATATAACAAACCTGTTAATAGGTAAAGCTGCTAGTGCCAATACCAACTTGATAGCCGAAAGCAAATTACAGGAACAAGACCTGCCTTACATCTCTTATGACAAATAAGCATAGGTGTTCATAACAACACATGCTTGATTCCCCAGATCATTACAATCGCTACATTTGAATGACGCCTTTTCACGCGTTTAAAAAAAAAACATCCATTTGTAAGCATAGTTATTCACCAATACCAGTTTAATACCTCAAATAATTATACATGTGACACGTCACAGTGGTGCAGTGGGTAGCATGATCGCCTCCCAGCAAGAAGGTCGCTGGTTCAAGCCTCAGCTGGATCAGTTGGCATTTCTGTGTGGAGTATGCATGTTCTCCCAGTGTTCGCTTGAATTTCCTCTAGATGCTCTAGTTTCCCCCAAGTACATAGACATGCGGTATGCATGCAGTCTGTGTGTGAATGAGTGTGTATGCATGTTTTCCAGTAATGGGTCGCAGCTGGAAGGGCATCTGTTGTGTAAAGCATGTGCTGGATAAGTTGCTGGTTCATTCCACTATGGTGACTCCTGATTAATAAAGGGACTAAGCCGAAAAAAATAAATTAATATATGAATAATATTATCACACGAGTAGCAGTGCTATCAGTTTTTGTATTTCTAGTTGAAATGGCCTTTTGTTATTTCAATAAAAAAAATAAAAACAATTTGGAGTGGAAGGCGTGTGTTATAGTGTACACTAGGCACTCGAGAACGATTGCCTCTTTACCTGTTGTTTCAATCCCCTGAGAACTTTGCTCATCTTCAGAACGCAAATGAAGACACTTTAGATGAAATCAGAGAGCTCCTTCATCTGTCAGCAAGAGTCCCGAGATGCACAAAGTCCAGAAAAGGAACCAAAAACATTGTCAAAACATGTGACGTGACCTTAGTGGTTCAATTGTAATCAAATTTCAAGAACATTTTGTGTGCAAGAAAATGTAAAAAAAAAACATTATGTCCAAAGTAGGAACTGTTAAACCACAACTGTTGAACCACAAAATGTTTTTGCCTCTGCATTCTCTTCATTTGCATTCAGCAGAAGAAACTCAAACAGGTTTGGCTCAAGTAGAGGATAAGTAAATTACATAATTGTGAATTTTATGTGAACTACCCCTTTATTGCTTCTGAAAGTAAAGGTAAATTTTATACTGAAGATATTGCTAAAGAATGGCAGGAAACAGAACACAGATAATAAGAGACAACAATTCATGTGAAAAAAAGGAAACTATATAGGCTCATGAAGTTGTAGAAATAGAAAAGAAGAGGTCATAATTATGAGCATGAGATTTGGACTCAGATATTAATAGAAAGTAAGGTGTTGTAGACATACAAGTCATCATAAAGTGGATTTAAAAAGTTAAGAAAATGTTTAGATTAAAGGTTTGTGTGAGAGAGAGCAGATATAGTGTAAAGTGAAAACCATGGGAGAAATGTATCAGTAAGTCATGATTCCAACAGTAAGTGGCAAAAAAAACTAAACAAAAAAGACTTTTATTTTGGCGTGGCATGTGACGTCATCAGGCAGCGCCGCTTCAGCGCTGTGATTCAACTGGAGAAAGGTTTGTTTAAAAACACTTACTGATATTAACCGATTTAATGTTAAAGTTCTAAAAATTTAGCTTTTTATACGATGCTACATTATTTTAACCCTTTATACAAGGTAGTAGAATTTTATTCTCAGTAACCGAGGGCTATTGTTTGAATAAAGTAACAGAAAAGTGTGTAATAAGTGTTCTAAAGAAACGTTTTACCTGATTTCTTTTTGTTAATTACTCTCATATAAAGAAACTGTGGAAGCAATGTGTTGAAGAGAAGTTATTTTGTTCCTGTTCATCGTTTTATTTATTTTAAACAGAACATTTTTATTATTTTGTTCATTTTAAACAGGATAAAGTGTTCTAACACAGAGAAAAACTCCCGCTGAAGCGACTGATCTCCACACTGTTATGAAGATGGCGTTTATTAAAGAGGAGAGAGAAGATGTAAAAATTGAAGAAACATTCACAGTCAAACAGGAAGATTTGCAGGAACAAACAGGTTGGTTTTCATTCTCAAAGACCAACTCAGTCATTTGATCCTCATTCAGATATATTTTTAATAATAAGAATACTAAATTAAATCATAGAAGTAAAGTTGGTTTTATAAAAGTATTATTTGCAAACTCTAAATAGCAAAATCATATTAGAAGCCAATCAGTCTTTTTCAGTCACGTGCGTTTGTTGTGTTTGACGTCACACCAGCGCCGTTTTTGTGGTATCGCTTAG